GATTAAAAGCAATTTTAGACTGTTAGATGATCTCATATGTAATCTAGGTGATGTTGGTAGACTTCCGCAGTTAAGGAAACAAAGACTAAGACAAAGAGAACTGTATAGCAATTAATCCTTTTGTTATCACTAAATGTTAGATTCTTTATTGGACAATATTTTGACTTCTGTCTCCGATTGTTATGCAGATATGTGTATATAATCATGTGAACAACATATACCGTGGAAATTCCCATATTCATTCTCATAATGTCTTACAGCTATTTCGCAAATGACATGCATGTAAGCCTAAATAACATGTGGACGTAATATTGCAGAACTGAGCGAAAAGAAAGGTTGAACAAATTAGATAAAGATATTTTATTTTTTAAATGCACAAAGGGCAACAGTTGAAGAGCAAAAATTAAAGGCGGTGTGAAATAGATCGTGCTTTTGTATGATCCTCTTCTATAGTGCCCTACCCTTTGCATTCGTTCGACTTCACTTCTTAAAAGAGAGTTTCGTCTTCTCGTAGTATATAACTAGACTCTGCACGTAGCGTAATAGTGCCCCTATTAGCCATGTACAGGGGCGTAGCCAACTTTCAGTCGGGGGGGGGGGGGGTGCGATTGCCAAAAAAACAATATCGGATTTCAGTCTGAGACAAATGGTCAAACATGAGTTTCAAAAAATGTTCTAGAATTACCTTATGTAAATATTTACGTTAGCTTGTTTAATTAAGGTCTGACGTTATGAAAACAAAGTGCCATTAATTTCTGAACCGTATAATACAGTATCATCTGTTTGGTCTCGGTATATTCCAGCTTAATTTGTATTATACAAAAAATGATATGTATAATTTGTATTATACCACTTTGAAACCTGTTATAATAGAAAATGATATGCGTATAATACTGTTTAATCTGATCCTGACTTAAATTATATCAGGTTAAACTGGAATATATTTTGGTTTAATCGGGTATCATTCTCTAATGATATTTGAGTCCGGATCAGATGTTATAATATTGAATGATACTTTCTGTGATATTGGATTAAACAACAAATTAAACATCAATATAAGATGTTATCACAAGTATTAATCATAGGATTTTACATAGTGGACGGAGCAACGGACGGACGGACCAATGGACGGACACCTGGTCGATCCCATAGGCTCAAAAACCATGGTTTTATTGCTAATACTGTTAATTTGAAAAACGGGTCCATAACATGTAATGATGACAATGAAAATGTTGAAATTAGGTACGCCAATGAAGTGAATTCAGAGCAAAAGACCCATCGACCCACTGGAATACCCACAAATCAAGTTTCATAGCCTTGCCCAAGTCGGTCTCTTTTACTTATCTTGATTTCTATTATAACCGCCTTGACCCAAGAGAAAGCCACGTGCTTTACCGACCCAATGTTTTTGTCGGTGAAATTTGACAAATCAACGACGGCCCTACATTGTCGGACTAGGTCTTCGTGCATTTCCATCACGAATTCAGTTTTGATTTCAACATTGAATTGCATGATTTCATTTAGACGAGTATTAATGACTGCGTACATTCCAATGTACATTTAACAACATAATATATTGTAACTCTCAAGAAACATTCGATCAAATCATTGAATTTCAAGTCCTAGACGGGTAGTTTGCTTTTTATGCAGGTCAACCTGATAACGTTTTGATTGGTCAATCAGCCTGAAGTCACACGTTGTGTCCATGTCCGTATTGTCAATCAATATGGTTTTGCGATACCCTTAGGTAGCCTTTAAGGTATTATGGGAATCTCGGAACCGCTGAATAACTTAGCATAATATCAGCGATGATGCATTGGATTGTACAAGGTGGTAATAATTCAAGATCAGATGAGTAAATAAATACCGACTTGGGCAAGGCTACAAGTTTCAGAGCCATTAACATTCCTTGAAAGTGACAATGAGCAGCCAACAGATGGACCATCCATTGATTTTGTCAGCTCAGCTGAACGAGCCTCCAGATTCCTTGAAACAAATGACCATAATTCAAGAATAATATTATTTATTTACAATTTTTTGAAATCGTGGTAAGTGGAATCTTTCCAATTACCAATATAGCGTTATTATTGTTTTTGGACACCGTGGATTAAAATATTAAACATACACACATTCAAAATGATTCAATTGAAACCTAGCCGCCAGTCTGTTCAATGAATCCAATCAGAACGTCTACTAATCCACATGATACATCATAATTAATTGCTTTTTTAAAGCGGATATTTCATAACATAACCCCAAAAAATTATAGGACGCATTGTATTTGTATTTTACTTCACACAGACATATTTGTGTTTGTGAAATAATTATATTACTTGAATTTTTTATTCCCCATTACAAGGTAAACCTATGGCAAATTATACATACCTTCTCACAGCTATGAGCGAGATGATAAAACTGGTCGAGTGAACTCGTTTGAGTTATCTATTCTTCGTAAAAATATCAGAGAATGTGTGTTTATAGCGTAGCTTTGGTTTTCTATTTCAATGAAGTATGATATACACGGATGAGTAAATATAGATTATTTAAACAGAAGTGCAAAATTCTTCCATTGAAAAGTACAGAGGCGGGTACTCACGAAACATTACATGTGCCTGACTACATCCACATAGATCGACTAGCCACAGTGTCCTACGTAACTTTAGGCTAGCTGTCTGCATGTAGTGTGTACACTTCACCCTATGCTTAGTGAGCGGACCTAATTTCAAGGGTGATGGTAAAGACGAGGCATGGCGCCCAAAAACCAAAGAATATCAGTACCATAACATTTTAACTCGTATTATTGCAGCATTAGGTGATGGTATTGTGATATTTTATGCTGTTTTAGAAGTGAAAGATGTTAAACTATGCATACCGTTTGTTTTACATCCAATAAAACGAATAGTTAAGATGAAACAGTCGTTTAAAGATACAATTTGAATTTACCGCAAGAAATTACAACCTAATATTGTCAATATGTCAATAATTCCTGATCGATGTCACATATAAAGATACATGTACCTAGATATGTTTTATTTTTTCATATATGCGAAATAAGGCGGTCTCTAGTTATGTACATCCAATACAAAATGAATGTTTACTATTCGGCGATCAGAATTTCGATGACGAGTAATGGCGATGTAATTTGCGAAGAGGAGTGGCTATGGGCAAGCACTTAGCTGCTACGTGTACTGCTAAATTCAGCTAAAATGTACACTGTCAATTAATAAATTAATGAATTTGGGCAAGGTTGTCATAGGCTTCAATCAATGGTAAAAACTTGCAAAACATGTAGTCACTTGATTTTATGATTTATCAAAAAGTGTTGGTTGTTGAACGAATAAATAGAATAACTTAAAAGAAGTTTAAAATTGTATAAATGGTAACTGGCCCACACTTTTTAACAAATGTTGACAAAGTCATAAAAATCAGACGCATGACAGATGTAGTCAGAGATTGTTGATGTCAAAGGTTGTTAACATGGCAGGTGTATTCAGAAATTGTTAACATAATAAATGAAGTCAGACTTTATTTACATGACAAGTGTAGTCAGAGGCTGTTAACATGGCAGATAGAGTCAGAGATTGTTAACATGACAGATGTAGTCAGAGGTTGTTAATATGACAGATGTAGTCAGAGATTGTTAACATGACAGATGTAGTCAGAGGTTGTTAATATGACAGATGTAGTCAGAGATTGTTAACATGACAGATGAAGTCAGAGGTTGTTAATATGACAGATGAAGTGAGAGGTTGTTAACATGGCAGATGTAATCAGAGGTTGTTAACACTACAGATGTAGTCAGAGGTTGTTACCATGGCAGATGTAGTTAGAGGTTGTTAACATAACAGATGTAGTCAGAGGCTGTTACCATGACAGATGTAGTGAGAGATTGTTACCATGACAGATGTAGTGAGAGGTTTTTAACATGGCAGATGTAGTAAGAGGTTGTTAACATAACAGATGTAGTCAGAGGTTGTTACCATGACAGATGTAGTGAGAGGCTGTTACCATGACAGATGTAGTGAGAGGTTGTTAACATGGCAGATGTAGTCAGAGGTTTTTAACATGGCAGATGTCGATAGAGGTTGTTAACATAACATATGTAGTCAGAGGTTGTTACCATGACAGATGTAGTGAGAGGTTGTTAACATGGCAGATGTAGTCAGAGGTTGTTAACATGACAGATGTAGTCACAAGTTTCTGCACTGTGGGATAAACTTTTGTCAGATTAATTTTTTCTGAGACAACATAATCACTGTTAACACATTGTGTAAATTGTTTATTGATCAGGTGGTGTATTATTTCATCAAAGTCTTTTGATTTTCCGTGACAGTAGTAACACTGGAATCCCACATATCTGAAAATAAACAGGATAAATGTAATCCCTATTCCACGGCTCGTCCAAACATGCTTTTATTACCATAACCATTGCTCTTCCTTTCGAGGAATCAAAATCTCCTGATTTGACTGCAATTACGGCTCAAATTGGGAAATGGATGGGTTTACGATATAAATACGTTCATCAACAATAATTACATGCAATATCAAGGAATTCTATGCAGGAGAAGTATCATTATTTTGAAAATAATCGAAAAAAAAATAAGCAGAAAATTAATTTTTCTTTTCACATCACTTCGTATCCATTTCACATATAAGTATGAATCTTTCTTACATTACAAATCTAATTATGGGCATCTGAAGCATCAGTGCACCTAGTTACAGGCCAGCACATGGCCAATAAAGAGTAGAACTTAGAGAAATAAACTTACTGCTGGTCCGCCATAGTTAGGTTTGGGCGCCCTGTCTCGTCTTTACCATCGCCCTTGAAATTAGGTCCGCTCACTAAGCATAGGGTGACACTTGAAAGATAACAACAAGAAACTTGATTTTTTTCGAAGAGACCTATCCCATTCAGAATGTTAACTTCTCATAACGTCGATATAAGTACATGCATAAACCCAACTCAATTATTTTTCCATCTTGTGATTTTTAAGGATGATATTTATAATATTTATCGCTTTTGTGCATACAGCACAACTCATACAGACAGCTGTTGCCATTGATGTTCTTGAGGTACCTTGGAATGGGAGAATGATAGACGTGCACTATCCGAGCGAAAACCACCAAGGGCCATTCAGTGAGTTAAGGTGTTTCAAGGGATCGATCATTTTGAACAAATACTTTGACAAGTAGAATTTATTTAATTATAAAAAATGTGACAAAGTCTGTCGATGGACGGCACAAAAGCATCGATTATATAAATGTAAGTAGTCTTTCACTAGACAATACTCTTTTAGAGCCATTTAAAAAGATGCACTCTAGCTAACCCCACATCATGGGCTTTCAAGAGATTACATTTTTATGGAGGTTGAAAATATAAAAAGGGAAAGTTGAACATGTACAGACATTATTTGATATTAAAGTATCGGTATAATACCCATTTCAGGACGATCAGACGATTGTGAGACTGGGTTTTTAAAGCCAACGGTAGGGCGCAATGATACATGCTACATGTTTGTCTTGACTAATTTGACATGGTCGGAAGCCAATGTCTTTTGCACGACAGCCAATGGTGATGGATTATTGACTATTGAGGACGCGGATGATCAACTAGTGATAACCGGATACATATCAACTACGAAAGGTTTTTGGTATCATATACTAGTAATAATAGTATTAGCTTTTTTTGGAGGAAAAACGCATATTTCTAGAGGATTTATTAGTTATATGGCGAACGGCCTCCCCTAGGGATTTTAGAGGAGTCTGATATCACTGGCAGAACCACGGGGAGGGAGGGGGACTTTAAAGCTTCTCCACACATAAATTGTGAACTTCTTGTTATACCTATTGGTTTTCTCAGAATTGTGAGTTACGATCTCATACCAAAAACGAATCCAAAGATCACTTTTCGTTCATAAAATTAGCATTTTATGTTACATTGGATGCCACACGATATGCAATATACAGTTGGTCCACAACCTCGTTGTTCTGAATTGCAAAGTGACTAGACATATACGTGTTTTTAGGTCGAATTGATATACAGGGTGGTAAAAACGGAGATCCTGCATTTTCCTCATATCTTTGTCATTTTAAGAAATTACTCCCTGATATTTCACACATTTGTAAATCATTTAATTTCCTACTGTATATCCATATTTCATGACCATCAGACAGATAGTCCCAATTTTACAGCACTTTGAACAACATGCACGCTGTTGGCAGACCTACAAATTTGTCAATGATCCAAATGCATTCCTCAGCAGGTATGGCCATTTTTGAGATATGTCCTGAGGTCATTCTTATACACTGTATCTCTGCCATATCCCCATAGGTAGGGACATTTTGGACAACATTTGCAGGTTTCTCTACAGCGCAATAGTGGCCACGGGAATGTTCTTTATCTAAAGTGCTGTAACACTGTTACTATCAATCTGATGGTCATAAAATAAGGTAGGCAGGTAGGAAATTGAGTGATGTACAAATGTGCAAAGTTATTTCTTAAAATGACAAAGATATTAGGAAAATATTGTAAGGGTTTCCAGTTTTTTTGACCACCCTGTAATTAAAACTGATGTTTCGGCTCAAGGCCTAAAGTTCCCCTCTCGTATGAACGAAAACTCCCCAACTTCAATTTGCCTAAGTCAACGAATAGGATGCGTCTAATTCGTTCCTATTAGTATGTACGTGACAGTACGTCGCATACCGTTGGTCGTGCTCTTATAGGATGGCGTTTGTGAGCGATTACATCCGTTGGAATTAGTCGTTATTCTGTTTGGAATATTGCTGATCTTTTTAAAAATATCACTTTAATGATGGATTTTTGACAATTAAGAAATATTTTATTTTTCGGCAAGTATAATGGATTTCTTAACCTAAAATGTATCGATTGCGTTGATATTTTTGAGCATGTTAATAAAATGTATGTGCTACCAACTCTCGAAAGCGGGATGTTTATTGGAGGATACAAAATATATTGTCTTTGTCGCAACTCTCGAAAGCGGGATGTTTATTGGAGGATACAAAATATATTGTCTTTGTCGCATAATTAAGTATTTTTTACTACACGTATACGATTTGTCAAATATTTGTATCCTCCAACATGTTGACCATACTAGTATACACTGTTGATGCATTATTTGGCGAAAGCTATGCCAGAAGGTGCATTTTGATAACATATCTTCGATTGCAGACAATGGAGATATATGATTGAGTGTAGGTATTTCTGTCGTGATTTCAAGTTGTCTAGATTGAGCTATCAAATATTTTGTATCCTCCAAACATTAAAATATCATCTTTGTGAAAAAATATTTTTAGATTTTTATTTTGAGAAATGAAAGTACTTATTAAAAATTATTTTGATGATCATTATTTAATTTTTGAAATTTTTGAATTGTATTTGTAAAACTTTATCAAGCATGTGTTGGAGGATACAAAATGTTTTTATGTTTCGTTTTTTTATTTTTGTGTTAGTATTTAGTGCTTGTCCTGGATTAAATGCATTGGCCTAACATACATGTATGCACCTGTTTATATCCTCAAACATAGCTAAAATCCAACATATGACTGTCGGAAATCTGTTACCCCATGTGCCAGTCTGCGCTTGATGGATTCGCCTTGAGGGAGCCTTCATTCCTGTTCATGGCTATATTTAAAAACGTGTGCATTGTATTTGACTATACAAGGGGCGATCCATAATCGATAAAAATGCTCTTATTTTGTGATTTTTTCACATATCCCTCTCATTATTTTCATAAAATATACATTATGTAATTACACATACAATGCTAAAATATTATAGCTATATCTTAAATCTATTTAGAGATAAGGTTGCCATGGTAACCTGTATTAAGTGTACGCAGGTCAATTAAATTATAATCTATAAAATATCATAATTACTTTATTTATACCAACTATTTTAATTGTTTTAATGCATGGAGAAATTATACATTTTTCTAAAAAGGTTTGGTATTGTTGCTCGTTGTTTGTTGCTAAACAAATGTTTATATATTTTTTCTATCACATCACATCACCACCTAGTTACTCACAATATTATTAGTCCTACTATATCTTAAGACAGATTTGAATTTCTGAGTTTATAAATAAAAATTGGTCAATTTGAAGCAAGTTGAAAAATACATTTTTGACCCTGACAAGGTCATTGAAGGTGAAATCTCAAATCTAAAGTCAAATTCGAACTTCTGAGAACTTGTAGATGATTTTGGAAAAAAGAATTGGTCAATTTGAAGCAAGTTGAAATAAGACCTTTTTGACCTTGAGAAGGTCAAACATTATTTTGAACTTGAGAATGTCATTGAAGGTCAAATGTTCAGTCAGATTTGAACGTTGGAGAACTTCTAGTGAAGTTCTTGTGACATAATGTCATCTTGGATTTCCAAAATCAAACTGGGAAACGAGTATGATACAATGTCTCCGTTCAATTATTAGGACTAAGGGCGGAGCGTGGACGCATTTCAACATACTACACAAGTGGACACCGTTTGCTAGATGGACAAACATGGGAGTGGATGACAACTGGTCTTCCAATAAACTTCACTCAATGGCACACTCCACCTCACCCGGTAGAAAACTATGATGTGATAGCGTTAGACGATGCTAGGAACTGTGCTTCGTGCAATTCGACAAATTTATGCATGTATTACGACTGGATATCCAGACGGGGATCCGAACTCGAGAGATCCATTTGCCAACATTATATCATCTTTGATTGAATATTGCTGATCTTACGAGGGGTGATTCAAAAGTAATGGACAAACATTTATAGGTATACTTAACATTGTCCAATCAGTCTAATTTTCTGACATACATTAGATCATTCAATTATCTACTAAGTGTCAAATTCGTATCTAACTGCATTCAATATTGTATCAGCTATGGGTAACCATGGTAACTAGGGTACGCATGGGCGAAATCCATTTTTTAATGATAATTGATTATTTTGGTCATTTCTGTTTCATTTCATTTAAAGACTCCAACACATATGCTGGGTCTATAAATGCTAAATCAATTGTCAAGGAAGACTCACATATCCATTCATATGCTGGTGAGTTCTTAGTTCAGCAACAAATTGTGCTGTATTACATCTCAATGAATTTTTTTAGAATTGTGAGTCACAGAGAGTCAGAAAAAGTCAGACTCTAAGATTCACACGTATCCAAGAAATGCCCAGAATTAGAAGAAATGTGTCACTTACAACAAATGAAAGTCAAAGGATTTTCAAAGTATAATTGGTAGTAAAAGGAGACAAGACAGGTTGTTGTCAGGAAAATCAAAAACACACAAGGCATTTTCAAGGCAAGCCTTTATTGTACAAGCACTTCGATGGAGGTGATGAGAGGGTATTGATCTGAAAGACCACAAACTTGCCACCCTGATCACAAGGATAACAACAATATTCACTTTGTAGAAGCAATCTTAAATGCTGTTTGGAGATTGACACTGAAGGAAATAAGTGCCATTACAGATGATCTAAATATTAAATAGAATTTAAATGAATGATCAGGCATGGTGTGAATTATGGTTGAACGTATTGTGCTACTGTCTTCAATTATTGAAAACGCTAACTTTTCATGAAAATGCATGTTATTATGATGGGGATATACTTAAAAAGCCAATTCCGGGTATAAGCACCCTTATGCGGGAGATATGCGGTGCTATATCTTGAAATGTATTTCGATTGACTGATTGATTTGATACGATTTCACAATTTATAGATCATTGGTTAATCTTCATATGTACCAAATTTCATACAAATTGGGTGAGAGTAAGCATGCCTATAAAATTTAGTCCATTACTTTTGAATCACTACTCGTAGATATTATTCTTCCAATCTGGAGAAATTTTTAGATTACTTTTGAATAGATAAATGTATTATAAGCACATATTAAGCTTTATTTATTGCATATGATATTTTTACATCATCCATATAGGGCAGTATACCCCCTCCAAAAGTTTGGAACCGTTTTCTTTATAAATTACTGTACTGTCAAAAGGTGCTCGCACTTGAATTTAAAAAATACTCGTCTTACCAAACTCCCTTAGATTTTCCCGAATTTTTCCTCATATTTGGTAGGCCTACGATTATAGAAAAAATATATTTGCAAAGCGCCATTCAACGTCTAATTACAGAGGGTAAATTATTCTAAATATTGACATAGTTGAAACGTTTAAAGTTGTCACTGGACACCTATAGTTTCATATAACAAATCTTCATTTCACAAACTTCTAAGCATTTCCTGGAGTCTGGAAGAAACATTTTTCAAGCAAGGAGAATGCTGAAACTGAAAAACAAAAAGGACGGGCATCTATAGACCCTCATTTTTTAACTGTCTTTCTATTTCCTACAGCGATGCATTTTGTTTTACAGTCTAAACCTTACATCATTTGCTCATTACTAGTGCGCAAAATTGCTCGTACTTAATAACTATTTGGTCGTAACACAAGTCCAAGCGTATATTTTCTTGGGTCACATGATGGACATCTACCGCCCTCTTGTGGGAGAAATGTGAACTTCTGCAGCATCGCGGTTAACATGAGAAATAATCTTGCACGTGCTAACTGTTCACCAATAAAAACACGTCTTCCTGCTCCAAATGGCATCAACCTATAACAAATAATGTTACGTAACACCAGAGATTTATTAAATATGTCAGCTAATGACCTTCTAAGGACCAATTTTACACTGAATAATATCTTAGATCTTTCTTTCATCGACTGGAATAACTTCACCATTCTTGTCAAGGAAACGTTCCGGTCTAAACGTCCATGGATCTTCAAAGTGGCGTTCATCGTGGTGGAGACCAAAGAAATTAATCTAAATCTAAATACAGAGCGTGACAAATGAAAGCACGAACAACCCGTGATTTGCATAACTCACTACAAAGGAGCACGTAGGTTATCGCAAACAATTTCAAACGATTCTAACTTGAATTATGAATATTTTTTTGATCATGAACATGGGTGTATCTTTTAGATCCATTCATTATCTTCAAGAAAAGTATATATAATGATAATTTAGTTAATGAGACCTAAGTGATATTGAAAGGGCAATGGACCAATCAACATACGTTTTCAAGAATGTTTACCTAATTTTCACCAAAAATGCAACCTATTATTATATTGTTGAATGCATAATTAGAATGTGCTTTGAGACATGTTCGATTTCCCAAAAGGAAAATTTGATTGCTCCAGGGACTTTAAAGATATTCAATTTGGATGACCAAAATGAACTGAAACCAACGGATAGCATGATATTTTTCAATGGAGATGGGGAACACTTATCTTAATGCAATTAAGTTTTTCTTTCAAGAACTATTTGAAACATCAAAATAAAGAATAGTAATGCATTAAACATTGTAAAAAATGATTGCATTTTTGGTGAAAATGGGGTCAACATCTTCAAAATGGGGTCAAAAAGTGTGTTGATGGGTTATTGCTAGTTAAATATCTCCGAGTTTGTTTGAAATTATTATTACTGTGCATAATTTTTTTGAGATAATGAATTGATCTAAAAGATAAACTTGTCTTCATTGTCAGAAAATAGTCATAATCCAAGATATAACCTTCTGAAATTGTTTGCGATAACCCACGTGCTCCTTTCTGTATGGATCCATCCCACGAATTAAAACTGGTTGGCGACAATTTTTACCCACGGTTCAAAAGTGCTGATTATTACATTTAATCATCTTAAATTTTGATTTGACCATCTTTGCATCAAGGGTATATGGTATTTTATATATTAAGTATAAATAAAGTACTTTGTAGAAGGATGAGTTTGACAGTTTATTGGAAATTATTAATAGTAATATTAGCAGTTTGTTTAACCTCGAACCTGGGTATCCTTTGGAATAAAATACACTCCTAATGTTGTATCAATCGTAGCTTTATGCGGTATTGCAAACGGGAAGTTGGAAGTGTAGCGCAGAGTCTCCAAGATGAATGCATCAACGTATGGGAGGTTGCTCCTGTCATCTAATGTTGGGAACCTAACATTGAAATGGATGACAATTTGGTTATTACCATGCATGCTCTGGGAATTTTACACGTGCATGTCATTTGCTTGTGGAAGCTTACTTGGAGGGTAATGATTAATGAACTCATTTAGGTAAGAGCCAAGATGAATGTAACATTGTATTATTTGCTGATTTTTCCTATTTAATACTAAATTTTTATTGGAATTTTCCATTGTACGAGGAAGCATGGATGGGAATATAAGAATGGCTACCCAACGTGCAATGTATTCACCTGTCTCTTCCAAGCCCTGTGTCAATAGCCATTTGGACATTCTCTTGAATACTTGGATAGTTCATCAATATTAAAATCCCCGATTCGATGATACTGTCCGTTGTTGTGATGCCTGTAAGTGAAAGCTATAAAATCTTAATTGTAACCCAAAATTAATGGAGTTAACTTGAAAGGACTAATTGGTAGAGGAGGTATCTAATTGGCTTCAGATGAGTCATTGAGGCGACTTATCAATACATTAAGGGCATTATTATCTATTTGATTATTTAGGGGAATCGTGGTCTTTGAAATCCTCTGAGAAATAGAGACTTTAAAATAGAGACTTAGTGCAGGATCACATGTGTTGAATGTGTGGAATAGCATCACAAGATCTAGATTGATCATCTGCAAATCAGTATACCTGCTTGAAGCAAATCCTGCATCATCATTCGAACATTGATATCAGTAACAGTTGGGTCATTCTCCTTCGATAGAAGTAACCAGTCGACCATGCTCCGAATCTTGCCCTTCTCCATTGTTTTCTACAATGTGGGCCAAAAGACGTCCACATTTTGTATATAGATACTTTTTTGAAAAAGCATGGATTGCAATAAAGATTTTGGCAATATTATGCAGAAAATCAATTTACAATTTTTTCTGAAGTGGGATAAATAAATCTAAATTACTAAATTACAGATTTCAGAATGTTATTCGAAGAAATTTTACACTGTCAGAGAAACATATGGTGTATGACATTTACTCTTTAGTATACTCTGAAATGATTTTGAGAAAAATGGAATATTGGAAGTATAAATAAGTAAAATGAAGAAAAACTGATTCAGCATCAAGAGAAAACAGTGATTTGCAAAAATCTGTCTTCAAAGTGAAAGCTATTCCGAGATCTTATTTTTGGCAAGAAAGATCAGTATGGTGCTTGATTGAGCCCACACAATAATGAAACTGTTTCTTCATTGTCTCGTTTAGATTAATATTAGATATAAATAAATAGTATATACATCATACACATCATGTTTCTCTGGCTGAATGTAAAAAAGTCAATCTTGAAATGTATATGAGGCATGACTGCTGCTTTGAATTTCATCCTGAAATCTGTAATTTTTCATATAAGCCCCTATAATGGAAGGGATTTCCCCACTTTCCAAATAATGATTATTCGGACAACAATGACTCTCTGTGAATGAATGACATTCCATTGTAAAGAGGAGTAATTTGGGTTTTTGGTACATTGAATGAAAAGGATGCAGTCATCATTGGTTTTATGTTTTCCTCCAATATTGCTTTGGGCCCCGTGCATTGACTTTTGCGATGTTTATAACTTGGCCCAAAGGTAATTTTGGCTTACTTTGCTTAAAGTGTGCGCCAAAGTTTAAAACTGCGCAGGCGCACCGCTCTCGCTAAACTATATAAAGAGATTGCCCGGTACACGATTCAGAGGTAAGCCAGGAAGGCGAACGATCTTCGTCTCGTGATGATTTCCCATATAATCTTAACCAGGGAAGTTTCAACATTGAAATTGAAAATTACTATTAGATATACTTTGTAGATGTTATTTATGAAGCTATTTAGTGTTTGCATCAATCAAATGGCTCATTTTGAACATATAAAACGTATTTGTGTTTTGTTTCCCAGGGAATTGTATTGTATGTAGTACACACATAAATAGTGTACATTATACTTGAATAGCCTGGTTTACATAATATTGAAGGGCATGCTGATTACATGCACACGAGTACATGAATGAAGGCCTAATATTGATATACGTAGCTTGCATACCTAAATAAAAAATAAACTCTTCTAATCCCCTAATGTAAACACGGCGGTATACGTAGCCCGATTTATCGGGGACTTTAAGGAATGATTTCTCGCCCAACCATGACCCAATATCAACGAATGATATACCATTAGAAAGATGCTTTTTTACACATTGCTTTATGGTACATTGACTATCATCACTGGTTTTGTGCTTTTCCGAGATAACAATCTGTTGCGTTTTTGTGATACGCACTGTATTCACTTGCTACAAGTCAGCCTAACTTTATTAGATTTAATGTAGCAGTTCAATACTGTCACATTACACTCCTGCTTAATATTAATAGCATGAACAGAGCATGGCATAGTGAAATAATATAATAAATTATACTAAATTACTAAAATAAAAGTATTATTGCTATACACAGCTTTTATTACAAATGTAGCTCTCTCTAATCATCTAAAGTGAAATTGAAAACATGTAGGTTTATCCCGTTCCCGGACTATTAGGTCAGCAGCTGAGCAAATTTAAAAAAATAAGTTTGTCCCCTAAGTTTCTCACTGGATTCATGTAGAGCAAGGTCTTGGGCTTATTTTGAGCTTGGGTTCTCTGTTCTAGCCCCGGCAACGAATGTGAAAAATGGTCCTATAGGTGGCGCCCCCTACAATTCACCCCCAAACTTAAAACTAATTATTATTTTCATAATTTAAACATAAAGACATCTCAAATAGCTTAAATTGATCAATGGTACATTAAATTATGCATTAAATTTTTTTTCAATGTTTGAAAATCATAATTTATGGAGAAATAGTTGATTAACCCCTTAAAACGCCCCCTATTTTAAAGGGGATACTTAAGTTAACTTCCGTAACTTTTGTGTTATTCAGGATTTGGGCTTAAAAATATTCCTGAATATGTACAATTATGGTGTTGAAAGACTGCAGTAACCCTATGTTCATAGCTTTATAACTTTTTGAGAAAAAAAATAAAACGTATTTCCATATAATTTGGATTTGTATTATTTTCAGATAAACCATCATCTATACTTTTTAATTTACTTTCCACACCTTATACCCATACATAGTATTAATACCTTTCTTTCATTTTAGACCAATATAGATGACTGTAGTTCACTTAAAATAAATAATAATAAAAAATTTAAGCAGAAATTATTGATTTACCTCTTAAAACACCCCTTATATAGGGATACATACACTATAGCTTCTATAACTCACTGTAACTTATGTTTCGTTCAAGATTTAGGCTTGAAAATATCCTTGAATTTGAAGACTTGTGTGTGTGGGAGACTTAATAGTTAACCTTTGCTCCTAAATAAATAAATAATTTACCATATGCTGTTGTCTTTGTAAATTATCTCAAATTCAGATTCTGTTGTCATTGATGATATCGAAGATGATCTGACTTTATCAAATACTCAGCTTGACCCATTGGAATATGGTTTCGTTCTTGAAAATGATCTTGATACAAAGGATATTCTGTATATCACCTGATGATCTGATTTTACAATGTAATAAACCAGATGCGAATAGGCAGTTACCAGTTTCAACGCCAGGAGGCTAATTCGGGGCCAATAACATGACAGGGTATTAGAATATTCATCAGCTTTAGTGTTTCAATTTTCATATCATCTTATGTATCTGATAGTTATATACAGTACAAATAAAAAAATTAATGCCCAGTAAAAGAAAATATTATCTGTCCAATACAAGCAAAGATATTTCACTTCTTGTGATTTTATTAACATGGGGTCTATGGAGAATCTCTTCGACCTAGAAATTGCATTTTCAAAGAAAATTAAATTTTCAAAGTAGCAAAAACACATTCCTAGATGTAATTTTACATGTAGATTTCAAATATGATATCACTTTGACTGAATTTTTAATTTTAATGGCGCAAATCAAGATTATTTCTACTTCCATCTAATTTATTATAGTAAGTGTGGTACAAAACAGATTATTTGAACTGAACAAAATTAATTGTTGCATGTTTTGTAAGTGCAAGGGAAGTGGTAACTGTAATTACCATCTAATCAAGCTTTTAGAAAGTGTTGTAAGTAATGCATGAACTTATTAATCTGATGTTACTGTGATACTGTATGTATGTTTTTTCGAAGAATCATCATAACACAACCAGCAGAAAGTATTTTTCTTCGTATGTTGTATCTTTGTTTCTATTGGTCAGGAAGACGAGAAATAATATATATATTTGTTAAAGTGTACATGCATTAATATTTCTCCATCAACAAAGAAACATCCTTCTTCAAAGGACTTCATTTATGCTTAAATTCAGCCCTTCACTTAAGCCCAGTTAGTTTCATTTTAGGGGTCATAAATAAGCTGAGTTTCCTAGTGGTCAACGCAGAAAATGCGTTACCAATCACAATGCTCTATACTAAGTTCAATGGGCATGTTTTGTCCTCCCTCTGTTTATGACCTCTAATAGGATGCAAATTTCTTATAAATTGGATTCTTAAAGAGAAATGCATCTAGACTGGGACAATAAACTCATTAGTGAACATGTAATGCCTGTTTATCACTGTGAACATATTTAGAAAATCTTTGTTTATTTTGACCTTTGATTGTAACAATGGTTCTGATTCGCTAGTGATTTAAGGGCAATTTGAAAGTTTGTTTGTACAATCCCAACAATTGTATAGGCTGCACCAAGGGTATGGAAAAAAGTGAAATACCCTAGGACCAAGGATGACAAAGAAAGGTATTTATTGGTTGTGTTGAAGGAATTGTGCCAGCACAACCCAGTCAATAAGGTCAGCACAATACAAAAATATTACACAATACCATATCCCTAGTTGGTTTTTCAATAGTCTTAACTGAACCCCTAGTAAAAAGAGGTGCTTTAATATCCTTTTTTGGTTCTTTGGTTATTTTATAGCCTTAGTGCTATCATAATATGCACTGGTTGTGCCATAATACCCCATATTTGTTTCATTATATCCCTTATCAATTCCTTAGTATACCCAGAGAGCTTTAATTAGTTTCTAAATACCCATTAGTGCTTCCTAATATGCCTTGTAGTGCTCTTTAGGGGCTAACAGAACACCATGATGACCTACTTGGAACCATCATGAG